CTTCGCAGCGACAGGCAAAGCAAACGGAGCATTCTCACACTCGCGGCCCAAGGGTGTGAGCCACCAGACCCCTGTGTTAGGCGCGCGCGAGCTACAAGCACAATCCCCCCGGCTTTGGCGCACAAGATCTCACAGCACAACAGAGCGATGCGGATGATAACCTATAGTTTCAGTGACAGTCACATGGCAAACAGGCTTTAGGCATGCGGTCGCCCGCAGCTAACCTCTGCAACATGTGCCCACCCCACATGCATCCTTCTACTAGGAAAGCAGCAGCAGGAATGCATGGGACGCACCGGCCCTAAGGGCAGCCGGTATGCAAACTGGCAAGGAAGGACCTGCAACGAGAAATAACATCACTCCGTTCGTGTTCCAAAAGCATACGATCACCAGAGCATCCGTGCCCAAACCAGAATTCCCTTCGTGTCCCAAGAGCATACAGTCACCAGAGCATCCATGCCCAAATCATAATTCCGCTCGTGTTCCAGAGCGTACGATCACTAGCATCCATGCCCAATCCATAATTCCGTCCGTGAGCCTGGCAGCAAATTCGAAGCATCTTTCTGGAAATCAGCCCCACTTGTACAGCTCCTCCTCACCAAGCACATATGCCTGGAGTGCCACGCCTGCTGGGATTTTTTGCAACGCGCGCCGATCGATATCCGAAGTGGCGCACGTTTACGTCCCTTTCCATTTTCTTTTCCATGATCCCTATATGTCCCCAAAATATGCCCTATAATACTGGTCCACACCTTCATGAAACAGCGCTTATCTCTTAAGATGCACAAAAGGGGCTTCAGATGTCCAGCCTGCGCATCCATGTGCATGAATTGAAGTGGGATTATGGAATATTGGCCCCATTAGGATAATATTAGGGTTATATTGGGGTTATACTGGGATGATGGGAAAGAAAGTGGAAACTGCTATAGTATTTTGGGGGTTCACTACTATCAAACAAGGGTTGTACTGAGGAACCGCTATATGAGCTATAGTCTAAACTCCTAGTATCCCCCTTAATGGGCCCTATGGTAATCCCCAAAAAAATCCCCCTTTAAGGAGTTTAGACTATGGCTCATATGCTATACCCTGTGCGGTAGCTAGGCCCCATACAGTCCTGTAGATGCCCACAGCCAGGAGCTTCTCCTTCCAAAGCTGATTACATGTTTAGGGTACTTGAACTGGCACCTGCCAAGCAAAGATAACAAGGGGATTTTGATCACCCCAAGCCCTGTAATAGGGACCCTATAAGAGTCAGATAGTTGCCATAGAGCTCTGATTTTGGGGGTAGAGTTAAGAAATCCTCTTAATAAAGGAATGGAGCAATGGATCACCACTAAGCCTCATACCCTGTAAATTGGGGAAATAAAGGTCACAACCTGCTCGCAGCCTGAATGTTTTCCTCTTAGGTGATGATTCCCCAGCGAAGGGTCAGGCACCAGAAGCATGTTTTGTTTTTTTTTGCAATAGTGGGAAGACGTTTGAAGACTTTGAAGCCCTACCCAAGCTTCAAAGAAAAGCAGACGAGTGCTATTGTGGACAACAATGGCTAGGTCTCAACATCAGGTTCTCTGACACATGCCTAAATTGAACAAATGCCTTATCATCACGCCCACCGGGTGAGATTAAATCGCTACATCATCCCAGTTTCTATTGTATATTCCATGTTCCTGTCCATTTGCATATCCCTCTACGTCTGTATATGATCCCTATACAACCCAACAGCGCTTCCTTCCAGAGCAGGAAGTCGAAGAGCTCGAAATAGGATTTGCCTTCCTCGGTGCACGCGTAGAATGTCTCAATGCATTCGTCAAGGCGCGTTTATTCCGAAACACCCAAATCCCTAAAGACTAAACCCTTGAATCCCTAAGCCCCCTAACCCTATACCCTCCAGTTATTCTTAGGGACTATAGGATATCACCTGGTTATAACTAAGGTTTTCCCCCCTAGCTCACCATGTCAAGTTCGTGTAGTGAAGGAACACCGGCCAAGGAGCCCGTTCCTAAATATGCTTCTGGGCGATCTGTTAGGAGGTTTGCCCAAATTATGGTCTCTTTTTGGGCACCTGAATCTTACAGGGTCGTAGTACAATGAGGGAGCCCAAAAGTTCAACAACCTGCCAGATGGCAGGCTTAACCCTTAAACCCTAAACCCATGACCTTTGCACCCTAAATCCTGAACCCTTAATCCTTAAACCCTAAACCCAAAAGCACTCGTCCACTGAACCACGCCGAGGACTTGGCCCAGGAGTGTGGAAGCTTCACCATCCTGATCTGAGTCCTGATATATAGGCATGATTGGGTTTGGGGTTTAAGGTTGAGGGTTCAGGATCTAAGGTCTAAGGGCTTACGGTTTAGGGGTTAAGGGTTGAGGGTTTATGGTTCGGGGAAAGGATTGATGGTTAAGGTCCCTGATGGGTATACCAATTATAGTGCAGCCTGGTGCATTGGGGAGTGCCAAGATGCCAGGAATGTGGGAACAACCTAGGGTTTAGGGTTTAGGCTCTGTGTTGCGGCATACAATATTTGCATGACGAACCCTTGCGCAATGCCCGGGAAACCCGTCAAGGAGGCGGACTTGCTGAGGACCTCACGTGACCATGGTGCTCACCTGGACTCAGGACTGTTGCTGCGCCATCGCCCATGAAGGGAGTGCGGGGTTTAGGTATCCAAGAGTGGAGAATCAAATGAGCTGTAGTCTAAATTCCTTAAAAGGGGGTTATATAGGGGATTATATAGGGGACTACTATAGGGGTTATTAAGGGGGATACTAGGAGTTTAGACTATGGCTCACATGGCAAATCGAATAGAAAAGGAACTGGGATCTCTTTTTCGGATTCAGGGTTTTTGGAGTTTAGAGCAGGGGTGAAGACAAGGAGCCGTCATGCCTTTAAGCCTCCCTGGCGGTTCAAAGTGCACATCAACCATGGCAGCTAAAATTCTGAGCATTTAACAGTGACTAGAGGAGGGATCCTTGTTCCAGAGTAAGCGCCAAGGAATAGCCGTGGATTGCTTGGGACATGCAGGGTGCAGATGCCCAGAATGAGGCCCTAGCCAGGTCGATGAGGGTGGGGTTGTAGAAGGTGTTCGCCTTAGCTGTGGTCATGCAGGCAGCAGGCGTGAGTAAGAGCGAGACTGAGACCGAGAAAGAAACAGAGAGAAAGAGAGATACAGAAAGAAAAAATGACAGGAATCTTCGTGCTTTCCAGGTTCTACTCTCCTGCCTCTACATCAAGTAGTCTACATCGGGCCCAGTCATCGCAGAAGTCCTTGTCATTGGGGCCACGCACGTTTCTTCCAGTTCATGCTGGTCAGAGGGACCCGCGTCCTTCACACGCATGCACTACCTTGCCCTTCACCCGAGATCTGTGGCCGCAACTGCCAAAGAGGTGAAGGTCGTCCCTCCGGCAAAGAGGCGCCCAGCTGCGAACCTACACAGAAGTATGAGGTGGTCAACTACATCCTCCCTCTCCACGCCCCAGAAAATGCTAATCCCAAACAATGGAGAATCAGATGGAAACGAGCATGGACAATTAGATGGAAACTTTTCCCCATGGTTATCACTGAACTTACATTCCTTCACAGCAGCTCAGTCCAGGGCTTTAGAGGGCTAAGGGTGGATCCAAATCCACATGTTCTGTTTGAAGAAACTGCTGAGGAGACCATAATCTCGAAACCCAAAATCAGCAACCACAAAGTTAGAATATAGAATCTTGTTGGAGGAAATCTAAAAATCACTCAGTCTGCCCAAGCTACCGTAGTTACCTGTATGGTGCAACATTTTCTCCATCCTCCACAGTAGCCTGATGATCGTTTCAGCGTTTTTTGTCTCCTTTCGAGGCATTAGCGCTGAAGGACACATGTGTTGAAGATTTCTGGCTTCCACTGCAACTTCAGAACCCTGAACTCCATACAGGGTTGAGGGTGTGTTTGGGGGGGTCTCGGGGTTAGGGGGTTAGGGTTCTAAACCAAAAGATACCAAAAGCCCTATCTGCAAACCTCAGCCTTAAACACCAAGGCGCAAGCCATCAAAACGCCATACAATCCCTGTATAGTTCCCATATATATATATATATACATACACATGTGTATGTGTGTATATATATATATGAGCATGGTCTATGCTCCTAGTATCCCCCTTAATAAGCCCTCTACAATCCACCACATAACCTCTTAAAAAGCTCAGACTCGGGCCCATGTATGTACGCATATAAATATATATATATATGTATGTATATGCGCCGTATATAGTTCCCATACAGGCCCGATACATTCGTAAATAGTTCTTATATAACCTAAAAGTCGGACGAGAAAAGCATCAGCTAAGCCTCGGCTGAACGAAGTACTCCTCCAACTTCTTCTGCTTCGTGCCTTGGGATTTGGGGACCAGAGCTGCAACCCTAAACCCTAAAACCCGACACCCTAAGCCCCTAAACCCTAAACCCTTCAAGCCTGAACCCCTAAACCCCTAGAAGCCTAAACCCCTGAAGCCTGAACCCCAGAGACTCGGGTTTAAGGTTTCTGCTTCGTGCCTGGAGGCTTGAGGTTCTTGGAGAACCCAGCTTTGGGCGCTGAGAGTTGGGGAGGTCCAAGAGTCGCAAAGTAGGAGTTTGGGGCTACTGGGCGGTTTAGGGTTTAGGGTTTAGGGTTTAGGGTTTGGAGTTTAGGGCTACTGGGTGCTGGTTGGACTTCTTTTGAAGGAAGTGCAGGTACAAAAATTATGTATATGATGCTGGTATACTGTCTTCTCCTTTAGACTCTCAGCGAAGTTTGCGAGAACCCCATTGTTGCAGCTGTCAGGATGCAACAGTCCTTGCTACGCTGCAGCATCATTTCGCAGTCATAACTGGCCCCACCGCACTCAGAAGAGAAAAAAAAGCCATCAGCCCGCCCTAAACCCTACACCCTAA